GGGTGGGGGGGGGCGGTAGCCGCGCCCCCTAATCCCGTTGGCGCCCCGTTCGCAGCTCCCAAACATCCTTTTCTTGAAGTTTCGTTTTCTCCGACGCCAATTTCGCTGCTTCCGGAACCGGTGGCTCAGGCCTCAGAGCCCGCCTGGGAAGGAGTCTGTCAATTTGTCAGAGCCTCGATCCGTAGGTCCTCGATCCCCTTCTTTGTGCCGCTGATCCCTGCCCCGATGGAGGACGCGCTTCCGGAGCGGCCTGCAGCGCACCCCAAACTGCGTAATGATCCCATCCTCACCTCCATCCAAGGATCCAACTCGAGGATGATTTCGTTGACTGGGTCGAGCCACAGAGAGCGCGGGCAGATCCCAGGGCTGGGGACAGCTCCTGGCATTTGGGGTGACACGTGTGGGGGGTGTTGAGGAAATGGCTAAAGGGTCACCCGCGGCACCCACCTGGAATCAAGGGGATGGGTACACTGTGAGCAGCACTGTAGGCGAAGAACCGCGCGGGCGTTTCGGATTCCTGGAGTGGGAGGATCAGGGGTGTACGGCGTGTCTGGGACGCGCGCCCCTGGCAGAGGACGAGGAATCCCGCACAGCCAAGCGCGAGGACCCGGGATGCTACACCGGCGTGGAGCACCGGCGGTGGTGCACGGAGACCACAGAGGGGAGGCGAAGTCGCCTGGCTCTTCCCGTTCACTGGGAACGCACTCTCTGCCTTCCCGAACCCCCTGGGCCCCAAGCCCTGCTGCCAGAGTTTCCAGGATCCAGGGCCTGGAGTGGGGACACGGCGGAGTCAGACCAAGCCCCTTTCCTGTTCATCACCCAGGATCCAGATCTTCTCATCTCCAGTCTGGCTGCTTCCGCAGATTCCAGGTACTTTTTGCACCTTGAAGAGGACCTCAACCCCGGCCCTACTCGCTGTGGTCTTGAGCTAGTCACTCGCCCGCTCTGAACCTCCGATTCCACCAGTGCAAAGTGGGTGCCAGAGCTCCCACCTCACTTGGTTACGGTGAAGCCAAGGTGTGCATTGAAGGCTTTGCACCCCAGGACCCGGGACTGCAGCAAGCCCTCTACCAGACTGTCAGCGGAACCGGGCCGCCCTGTGGCAGGAACAGGCTGGGGTGGGCAAAGCGGGTTCTTCTCCCCTCTGCGGAGGGATGGTGAACAGAGACCGCAGGATGTGCTGGGCTGTCCCCTGGGGAAGCCAAATTTCCGAGCCAGGGAATTGCCTCTGTTTGGGGGGCGTTTGACCAGGCAAAGTCCTGCAGTGGGGTCTGAGCTAACCGTTTCTGGTTTCTGGTCTGAGACAGTAGCTTTGGGCTTCCTGGGGTGGGGATGTTGTAACCAGAGCCCATTTGCTGGGCTGGTTCTCTCGCACACTCACAGCGTTTCTGAAGGCTCCTCCGGATGGAAGTGTGCCGGCCCTGGGGACACAGAGGCACATCTTCTTGGTCCTCTCCCAGGAAGGCCTGGGGTGGGAGATCCAAAGAACCAGACATCTACAAACCGGTGTGACCAATGCGGAGAGGGTGGTGCTGGGGGAGCTGTGGCACTTTTCCTGGAGGGTGAGGGAGTGTGGGAAAAGGGATCAGCCTGCGCAAAGGCCGGGGTGGGAAAATACTTGAAGGGGCCATGAAGACCTGGGAATGACCTTCCATTGCGGCTGCGGCTCATACTTGGGTTTGGGGTGGGAGATCTTGAGGAAGGTTAGGGAGGAGGAGATGAGCCTGACAGGATGTGGTTTGTTGGGCTTTGTAAACTCAAAGGGTCTTGGACCAGATCCCAAGGGTAGATTGGAGCCACCAAAAGGTTTTAAGCAGGGCAGGCCAGGATTCGGTATGCATGCTGGAAACTTCACTGCGGCCACTCTGTGGAGGATGGATTTGCAGGAGTGGGCCTGGGGAAAGGAAGATGAGAGCTAAAACTGGCAGAGAGGGGTGCATGGCGGTAGCCTGACTTAGGAGGCCACAGTGACAATGGATTGGAGGAGATGGGTCCCGGAGATACTTAGGAAAGGAACCAACAGTGTCTCATGGTTGGCTGGAGGTGGGGCTAAGGAGAGGGAGGAGTGTATGAGTTAGGTTACTAAGCCTGAGCAGCTGGATGAGTGGTGGCTCCAGTCCCTGAAATGGACTGTGCACCAGAGAAAACTGAGGCTCAGAGAGTTCAGAAGGCTCACATCCACTTAAGGAGCAAGCATTCCCTGGTTCTCAGGGACCAGGCCTTGGGGTGACTTCTGACACAGGGCGAAACAGACTGCTGCTTTCTGAGGGCTCCCAGTTTGGGGTGGAGGCAGCTGTACCCAAAATGCACTATAAAGGGGGAGGGAGAAAGGAAAGAGACAGACTCAAGAAAGCCTTAGGGTGGGAAAAAGGCATTTGATCTTGGCTTTCTGTGTTTGTGACTAGCTGGTTATTTAATAGACTGCCGTGCACTGAACAGATAGTAGCAGGCATTGCTGTTGTCATCTAGTTCAGCTTAGGGCAAGGGAAATGAGAACTCAGAGGGCTTAAACAATTCTCTCAGAGTCATCAAGCCAGTCATGCACATCTATGCTTCTGAGAAACTGAGCTTCTCTACTGCTGGGGTACAGTTTATTCATCTCGGGCTTCTGTCCTTGCGTGCTGTGTGACCTGTGCAAGTGACTTAACTCCCCGGTCCCCATTTTCCTCATCTGAAAAATGAAGATTAACGGGGATACTCAATATAAAATACTTAGAATCTTGCTGGGGCACGTGGTAAGTGCTCAAAGATTTGCCTACTCATTATTACTATTATTCTATTTTCCCTAACACATGATATATTTGTATTGAGTAGATTGATGTTATATGCAAATGTAAGTGCTCACTGTAGAAAATTTGGAAAATTCAGAAAAACACCAAGAAGGAAATAAAAACACCCACCAGCTCACTTTCTAGGTAGATCTTGTCTACGGGAGGGGGAGAGTGGTGGATGCAGGCGTAGGGATATTTGTTAGCCAGTGACAGCTCCGAGGCCAGAAGCCCGGGTACAGGCTGGCTACTGGGTTTGGAGGGAGGGAGGGTGGCCTGTCTGAGCCTCGCCCTCCCCTTCCCTGCCCCGGTGTCCCACAGCCGATTTGGGACCAAGTGCGCACGCTGTGGCCGGCAGATCTACGCCAGCGACTGGGTGCGGCGGGCCCGCGGCAACGCCTACCATCTGGCCTGCTTCGCCTGCTTCTCGTGCAAGCGCCAGCTGTCCACGGGCGAGGAATTTGGTCTGGTTGAGGAGAAGGTGCTGTGCCGAATCCACTACGACACCATGATCGAGAATCTCAAGAGGGCCGCAGAGAACGGTACCCAACCCGCCCCGCCCAGCACCTGGCCACACCTCTGCCCTCAGCCCTACCCCACCCCAGCACCCCAGGTACTGCCCACACTCCTCTAGGGACAGGTGCTCACCTTATCACCTGGGGGCTGTGCCGGGAACCCAGACTTCTGGCTCCACCATTGGCTTGAGAGTCCGAGGTCACTGCCTATCCCTGCAACTGTGTTTTCTCATCTGTAAAATGGGGCTTATGATAGGACCTTCTAAAGAGAGATGAGCTGATGTGTTGCAAAGCCAGGAGGCAGTCAATGAACTCTAGAGAGGATTCTCATCATGGGACAGCCGACTCCACTTTTGGATAGTGCTGGTTGGCCTGAGGGCTCATCCCCTCCAGCTGTCCTGGAGAAATGACCCACCCTATTCTCCCAACTCCCAAGCCATCAGCTCCAAGACAGAGGTTTGGAGGTGGGGGTTTCATGCTGGATTGTGAAGAGTCTGGAGAGGGGAGCTCCAGTTTTGCTTCTGGCATGCTGTTCTGACTTGTGAAGTTTCCTTTCCTCTCTGGGCTTCAGTCTCCCCATCTGTGCAAGATAGCTGGTGGACTAGAAAGATAGCCCTAAATCTCTTCTGGTTCTGATACTATGATTCCCCAAGACACATGGGTCCTGGGACAGGGTCCCGGTCTTTCAGGGGTGGTGGTGGTGGCTGGATTACAGGTAGGTTGGGGGCTGGAAAGGATAAGCAGAGGCTGGGCTGTGAGGGGAGGCAGGAACCCTTTCCATAATTCCCTTATCTGGGTTTGTGAAAGCTGCTCACTTCTCTGTGACATGGATTATTCTATGTTATCCTTACAGCCCTAGGAAGTAGCTGGGGTATCCCCATTTTACAGGCGAGGAAACAGGCAGAGGTTATCTGCAGTATGTGACTGGCCAAAGGTTACAGAATAGCATGTCTGCCTGCCTGACTCCAAAGCCCAAGTTCTTAACCACCATACCATACCACCCCATTCCCAAGCTCCGAGGCCCCTTAATCAGACTTCTCCAAGCAAGGGAGACTATTGGGATGTGGTTCCCTCTATGAGTTTCATTTTTCCATGGACACAACAGGCACACCAATTGTTGTCCTGCTTGCTCTCCTAGGAGACATTAATACCACAAAATGTCTGTCCCACCCACAGTGCCTCTGGGGAGGGGTGTGGGTTACCCTGCCTCAATTTCCATCCTGGGGATGAGTTAGGGATCCCCAGAGTGTTCCTGGCCAGGGCCACACCAGGGCCATCACTGTATCCTGCCAGGATTCAGACTAAGTGGACCTGGGGTGCTATGTCCACCTGCAGTGAAGCTAGGATAGAACCCCAGGAGTCACAGGTCTCCCCACACCATGGCCCATCAGTGCCCTCAGGCTCCTTCCACACTTGGACCAAGTAGGACCATCCCTAGTCAGCCTTGCCAGTTAAATTCCTGCTCTCCCAGGCAGGCGCCGCTTTAGACTCCTACCATGCAGAGGAGCGTGAAAGCTTGGGACCTTGGATCTTCTTTACTGACTAGCCAGCAGTTTTGGCCACTGTTTTACTTTTTAAACACACACACACACACACACACACACACACCATAGAAAATTTAGAAAAAGTGGTTAAGCAAAAAGAAAATAAAAATCACTCCAAATGCCACCACCCCTTATATTTTAGTGTATATCTTTCCAGATTTTTTTCTATGACTGTATATTTTTCCTATGTACAGTAGTGGAACTGCTAGTGATTTTAATTTTCTTTTTTTGTGCTTGACTGAATTTTCTGATTTTTTAAAAAAAAATTCTGAGTTTTTGAGAAGGAGCAGGCATTACCTTTGTATTCAGAAAAATTGAGATATTAGAAATAAAATGGGAGTATATTTAGTGTGATTGTAAAAGTAATATAAGTGGAAAGAGAATAGCTAAATATAGTCCAGTTAAAATTAAACCTTAGAGAAGTAAAGTGACATATGATTGTAAAAACCTCCAAAGTTACAGAAATATTGAAAGTAGAATCTCCATAATTGCACTCCTGGGAGGAACCACTGCAACACCTTCCAACCTTTTTGCTTCCATACGTTTTAAAATTTTATGTCCTTCCAAACTGTTTGCTTTTATCAATTTTTACAAAATGAGGACCACAGGTTTGTAGCCTGCTTGCTTACTATTTTCATCAGCCTTGGATTTCTCCAGTTTAGCTTGGGGCGCTGGAGTCAGTCAGCTGTCAGGATACTAGTGTGAGGTCGGGACTGGGGCTTTCTTCTCTCTGAGCCTCGGTTTCCTCCGCTTTACAGCAAGGATAATGTCACCCATCCTCAGGGCTGTGGGACGGAAATGGCACACCGTCTGATACCAAGCGGACGCTCAGAAATGAAAGCCCTTTGCCCAAGGACTGAGTTCAGAGACTAGGACCCTGCGGTCCCCGCCCCCAGCCAACTCCGCTCCTGCCCCTTCCTGGGACCAGCTCCCCCCACCCCCGTCCTTTTCAGGCTGCCGCTAGAAGAGACGCGGACGCGAGGTCAGCCACTTCTGTCGCCCCCAGGGAACGGCCTCACGCTGGAGGGGGCAGTGCCCTCGGAGCAGGACAGCCAGCCCAAGCCGGCCAAGAGAGCGCGGACATCCTTCACCGCGGAGCAACTGCAGGTACCCGGGGCGTGGCCTCCAGGCCGGAGCCTCTGATTGGGCCAGGGCCCTGGAGACCTCCGAGTGCCGGTTCCTAACCCACCCCCGCCCCTTCCCGCCCTGGGCAGGTTATGCAGGCACAGTTCGCGCAGGACAACAACCCCGACGCACAGACGCTGCAGAAGCTGGCGGACCTAGACGAGGCAGTCCCGACGGGGTCCCCCGGCGGCGCGTCCGACCCTGGTCCGCGAGGTTGAGGCTGCCGAGGCTGTCGTTCCAGGTGTGGTTTCAAAACTGCCGGGCGCGTCATAAAAAACACACGCCGCAGCATCCTGTGCCGCCCTCCGGGGCGCCGCCGTCCCGCCTCCCTTCCGCCCTATCCGACGACATCCACTACTCCCCCTTCAGCAGCCCCGAGCGGGCGCGCATGGTCACCCTGCACGGCTACATCGAGAGTAAGTGATTGCGACACCCGGGCCCCCAGGTCTGCGGGAGAGGAGCGCGCGGGGGCGGCGGAGGCGTGGGGAGGCCCGACGGAGCTGCATTGGGTGAAGATGCGGGCTTCGCAGTAACTAGGAGGTGGGAGGAGGGGTTGTTACCTGGCTCTGCCTCAGTAGATGCAAACATTCGACCATTCAAGTACCTTCCAAGCACTGGTTCTGTACCGAGGCCGGGGGACTAGGGAAAGAGCTAGATGGGTCAAGTCCTTGTTCTGGTGGAGCTTGCGTTCTGGTGGGAGAGACGACGTGGGACAATAACCAGATAGCTGAGCGTGTGTTTTAATTGCCGCGATTCCTATAGGAAAGGTGCTGGGTGGGAGTGTGGAGATGCCGCTCTCAAACACGCTGAGATGGGAATGATGGGTAGGATGAGTGAGACACAAGGAGTGGGAACTAGGAGTGCCCCTTGTCAGAGGAACTGAATGTAGGCAGGTCTACAGCCTGACCCAGGGAGCATGTGGCGTTGGGTGCCTCTGGGGTTGCAGAAGGCCAGTGTGGAGGGAAAGCTCAGGGCTGCGAGGCTGTGGGCAAATCACCTAACCACCTTAAACCTCAGTTTCCCCACCTGTAAACTGGGACATTAATAATGCCTACCTCACAGGGTTGTGAAAATCCACTGGTGTATTCGGTAGTTATTTTTGGAGTGCCTTTTGTATCCTGAGCACTAGGATACAACATGGAACACAATAGACCAAGGCCTGTGTGTTTCTGGGGCTCACATTCCAGGGTGGGACATGGGTGGAAAGACAATACACTGATATAGGAGGGAGGGCAGGCATGGCAGTGGGCACTGAGCACTGTGGGGAGATGGAGGGCAGTCATGGTGGAGTGAACTTTGAGCAGGAACCTGGAGGAGAGAGGGTGTAGTGATGTGCGTTTCTGGGGGATAAACATCAATGAATCTGCTGTTGAGCAGGTGCTTACCACACATTTTCTTTCCCTTCAAGGGTGTTTCCATTGTTTGCTTCCTCAAAGCTGGGCACGACCGGAAAAATAAAAGTGGCTACAATATACTCACAAACTCAAACCCTCTTTTCTGGGGCTCTAGTAAGAGGAAGAGGTCAGAGAGACACTGCTGTTTACTGAGCCCCTGCCTTGTGCCAGGTGCTGACTGTGTTTCTAAACATTAGAGATCACTATTCCATTATACAGATGAGGAAACCAAGGGTTCACAGTAAGTTAGTGGGAACCAGTATTCTTTAATGGTTGAGTGTGGGCTTTGATGTTAGGCTGAAGATCCCACCCCTGCCACTTCCTGGCTGTGACACTGGGCAGGCTTCTTAGCTTCCCTGAATACCAGTTTCCTCATCTGTAAAAGTGAAGACAGTAAGGATACCTATCTCAACGCAGTGTTGTGAGCATTCAGTGAGATTATTGACTTAGGTCTTCAGCATTTAGTAAGTGCTGGATAAGTATTAGCTGCTCTGTGATGGCGGCGGTGGTTCTGGTTGGCAGAGCTGAGGGTGCAGAGTCCTGCCTACTGCACCAGGCTGCCAGTTGGAAACTGTCTCTTTGTACTGTTCCGGTTCCGAACCATCTGCTCAGTAGGAGGGACTTTTTCTCCCTTTCTGTTTTAAACAATGACTTACGTTCAGGCTGCACAGAGCCGGTAGGAGATGTAGTTCTTCTGTTAAAGGCACCAAGGACCAGGGGCTCTCTGGGTGCCAGGAATTGGCCCTACCAGCTAGCATTTGCTGTGGAGTTAGTAATGGATCTAAGTGACTCCCTTGGGAGGGGGCCATGGCCTCCAGACTCATGCCAGGACGCTGCCCTCACACTTTGTAGATCAAAGATCTGTGTTTGATGCCCAGTGCCCTTCCCTCTCCACCTTGAGGTGGAACCCAGCTTGAGGCAGGAGCTGTCAAGGGTATGTGGACCTGCTGCCTCTTGCTGCATGGCTGAAGGTCACCTCGGCACTTTGCTTTGCAGTTAACTAAATTCATAGGACCCGGGTTTCCTGGAGCCTTAGAGTTTAGAATCTGATAAAAAAGAAACTTTGGAACCGGACCCCAGAAAAATGCACATACACACATAGTTTTCCAGGTCATCTCAGGCTGTTCATGGACTCCTAGAACACCCCAGGTTAAGAATTCCCAATCGTATACAACAGATGAGGAGACTTTGCCTCAGAAAGGCACAGTGACGTGTCCCAAGTTACATGCCAATTGTAAATCTCTGAACAGGGCTCTTGTTTTGTTACCAAAATAGATGCAGTGCAGGGAGGAGGAAGCCATGGACTTTTCTACTGAATTGGTAAAGAGGCTGAAACATGAGAAGTTTGGGTCAGACATTAGGATGGACTTTCCCCTCACAGTTTTAGATGTTAGAATAGGGTATGGAGACTTTCTCAACAAATTATTTAAAGAGTACCTACTGGATGCCATGCCTCATTCTAGGTAATGGAAATCCACAAAAATCTAGAAACTAGAAAACAGACAGAAATTCCTGTCCTCACTAGAGCTTGCATTCTAGTTGGCAGAGATAGGGAGTGTGGGTGTGTGTTGGTGTTGGGTCGCAATTATTAACAGAGCATCATGAAGAAGGTGCCATATGAGTGCAGAGTCCTCTCAGAGGTGTGTTTGGAAAGCTTAGGTGATACCTGGGAGGGAGATAAGGCACCAAGGGAGGATCCTAATAGATGGGGTACAGCCTTGCATGTAGGAGGTGTTCAATACATATTCATTTATGAGTATTTGTTTATCAGTCAGCTGGACAATTATATAGAACTTTATAGGTTATAAAGTCTTTCACATAGAGCGTTGCAACCAACCCTAATGAAATTTCCCCCAGGGTCAATCAGCTGGTAAGTAGCAGAGGTGAAAGTGGTCCAGGTGGGATCCTGCATGGAGGCTGGGTGTGGGCTCCAAGGCATCCTCTCATCCACAGGTCAGGTACAGTGCGGGCAGGTGCACTGCCGGCTGCCTTACACCGCGCCCCCCGTCCACCTCAAAGCCGATATGGATGGGCCGCTCTCCAACCGGGGTGAGAAGGTAAATGGAGCCAGGTTGGGTCTGGTGGGTCAGAGCCATCCTGCGGGGAATGGGTTTCTGGCAGCATTCCTCATCACTGAGCAGGCAGCATGCCTCTCTGCCCAGCACGCTCTGTGCCACCCAGGCAGTCGCTCCAGCAGGTGCCAGTGTGTTCAGTGTGCACGGCCCTCCTTGCAGGTCTGCACTGACAGCTGGCCTCCTCTTTTCCAGATTTCTGAATTTAGTTACTTTGCTCAAACTTTGTGGTTCCAGAGGGGGCTCATATCACACACCACCTGCCTCCCACCACCTCTCTGGTTCCTCCTCCTTTCTCCTTTTTATTACTGTCTGTTGGGAGTGAATATCCCCAGCTTGTGAGGCCCAGGGATAGCAGGTCAACAAGGTACCTTGGTCAACTGGCAAGGTCTCCTTTGTAGTACCCTGGTTTCTGGTTGTCTCCAGCATTAGGACTAAATATCCAGAAGGGAGCTTAGACAGCACCAGGTCCAGTGGCTTGAAAGTTTTGTCCTTAAGCCCTGGAAACCTTTGTTAAATCTTTTCCATATCCCATAATGGAGATGCAAGTGGATGGAGCTGCTTGGGGTGAAACTGCAGAGGGAGTTCCCCACCCGCCAAGCTCTAAGACACCTCCCACTTAGCCTGAAAGCCACTGCTCTAAGACACCTACCCCCATTCTAGAAAGGAGAAAATTGAGGCTCAGGTAGCTCAAGATCACAGAGCTTGAATGAAAACCTGTGCATTTACTCATTCACTTACTCATTTATTCAGCTGACATTTGCTATATGCTGACTGTGCCCAGGAGCCCCGCGTCAGCTGCCAAGAGCACAGAGATGAGGAAAGCATGGTCCCTGCCCTTGAGGAGGCCACAGTCCAAAGTTATAACACTGTGATCAATCTGATGGGGGAGCCAAGGGAGCTGGGCAGTGGAGGGTGGGGGTGCAGCTCAAGAAAGACACAAGGAAGACTTCCTGGAGGAAGGCAATGTCTGAGCCCAGGCCTGAAGGCTGAATCCGAGTTCCTGGGGAAGGCATGAGAAGCTCTCTCAGGGAACACTGAGCAACTCAGTGTTGCTGGCACACAGGCTTGGGAGGAAGAACAGTGAGGGTGGGGGCCTCGGGCTGCCAGGTGGAGGAATGTGGACTTTGTCTTGGGGCAGGAGTGGTCCCTGGAGGCCTGTCAGAAATATCACTGTAGTGGCCCTCAGAGAGAGAGAGGGAGTGCTGGGAGTCAGGGTGGTGGGCCAAGGAGAGAGGGCCAGGGCCTTCAGGCTGGAAGGGCCCCCAGGGACCCTGGAGTCCAGCAGAGCGTGGTTGCTGTTGCTGTGATTTTCAGCATCAGCTGGGGAGTTTGTAAAGATACAGATTTCCCAGCCTAGCCCCTGGAAAACTGATGGTGAGGTCTGGGGCAGAGACCTGGGATCTGCTGGTGTGACAAACACCTAGCTCCTGTGATTCCGGCAGGCAGCCAGAGGTGAGGAACACTCCTCCAGGACAGCCCCTCTTACTCTGCCTCCTGACTGAGCACCTACTGTGTGCTGGGCTCGCTGCTGGGCACCATGGGGGAAGGTAAATGGTATGGAGGTACAGACAACCTAGTTGAACAGATAGGTTTATAAGTAACTGGTAGTGTTCAAGACAAAATCCCACAGTACTTGGTGATGGGTGAGCGCGTCCCAGGAAGGTCCCCTCTGGGACTGCCATACTCACAGTAGGAGCTGCTCCTCTGTTCATGACAGAAACTTACACACATTGTGTGAGGATGGCATCCGCATAGTAAAGATAAGAAAACTGAGGCTCGGAGAGGCGACGACTTGTCCAGGGATGCAACGAGTCTGTCGGACTCCGAAGTCCATCTCGATCAGTAACCATGTCCTTTCATGGAGCACTTTACAGTTTACACAGTGCTCTCTTTGACCTTGGCCTTCAGAGCCCCTCTGGGAGGATAGTTACATTGACTCGGTTGACTCGGTTTCACACCTGCAGACAGCAGTTCTGACCCAGGGCCACAGAGAGCATGGGTAGGGCTGGCATCCATCCTAGGACTGCCTGCCTCAGAGCTGCCCCTCCTGCAGGAGAGCATTCGTCTCATCAGACCTGGTACAGGACTGCAGAGGCCAGCTGGCACGTCCCCTGTCCTCTGGGAATGTGTGGCTTAGAGCTAGCGGCGGGTAGCTGCAGCCTAGGTGACAGGGCACTTGAGGTGAGGGACGAACATGGCCTTCAAGGACCCAGAAGAGGGAGTGAAAGTTCTAGGGGAGAAGCAGGGGATGAGGAGAAGGGCGTTCCACGGTGGGAGCAGAGAACATGCTAGGCACAGAGGCAGGCATGGGGGAGTCTGGGTTTGAGGGACTAAAGGGTGTTTAGTGTGACTGAGGCCCAGGGAAGTGGGGCAGGGTGGTGACAGGGGTCACATAATGATGGGCCGGGACCGTTGGGTGAGGGGCTTGGGCGTTATCTGGAGGGGATTAGCCTTGGGAGTATTTAGGGCTGTGCCCAGAGCTTGGAGAGGAGCCCTGGCCTTCTGGTTGCTCAGCTAAGCTTGTGGTTATGTCTGGTTCAGCTTGAAGGGTGAGCCAGCCTGGGCTCTGGCAGCTTTGGCTGTAGAAGGTTTCTGGCCCCTGGGTTTGGCTGCTGAGCCAGAGCTCTCTTGCTGGGATGCATCCCCAACTTCACATCCAGCTGCTCTGCAGAAAACTGCACCCCCCTCCCTTCATGATCTTTCTCCCTCTCACTGTCAAGCCTTCCTGCCAGCTCCTGGGGGCCTTCTCTGTCCACATCTTGACAAATCCCTGGGGGCTGGTGGGCTGTGTGTGGTCAGTCGGTGTGGAACTGTATGGGCTTTTTCCCAAGTCACTCCAGGCCTGAGCCAGCCTAGCTCTAAGGAGACTCAGTGCCCCACTGGGGCAGGCCCCTGAGCCCACTGATCGAGAGCATCACTGGCCTGGCCAGGAGAACGGTCCATGAGCATTCAGGAGTAGCACCCTCTGCCCCCCACCACATCTTCATTTGGCCACAAAAACCTGTGAGTTTCCAGAACCACATTTCTTCCAAATCATGGCCCCCAGTCCCACAATTTCAGAACTTAGAAGGTGCTTAGAAATCAGGGCCGAGCTGTCACTGATAAGATGGAGAGACTGAGGTCTACAGAGGGGAGGGGTCTTACTGGAGAGTTTCCTTTGATAAGAGCCCAGAGCCAGGTGTCCCAGAGGCCAGAGGAGAGCACTGCCCGAGGCGGGGTGAGTGGCTGAGGCAATGTGGTGTGAGCTGAGTCAGGCAGACTCAGAATCCCAGCTCTGCCACTTCTCACTCTGAGACCTGGGAACACAGTTAGCTTCTCTGAGCCTCAGTTCCTGTAGCCGCAACATGGAGAAGATAATAGGTGCCACAGCCAAGCTTGTTGCTGAAAGCAAATGCAGTAATGTATGTAACGAACCTAGCACAGCCCAGCCGGTGTGGCTCAGCGGTTGAGCATTGACCCAGGAACCAAGAGGTCTTCAATTCGATTCCCGGTCAGGGCACATGGCCAGGTTTTGGGCTAGATCCTCAGTGTGGGATGTGCAGTGGCAGCTGATAGATGATATTCTCTCCTATCAATGTTTCTAAGTCTCTATCCTTCTTGCTTCCTCTCTCTAAAAATCAGTAAAAACATTTTAAAAAAAGAACCTAGCACAGTGCCTGGTACACAGAAAGTAGCCATAGATGGTGGTTATTGCTATGCTTTCCTCCATCTCCTCATGGTAACCGATCTGGGCAAGTAACCTTTCTGATCAGAAAATGAACAGCCATATGGCTGTACCCACTTGATGTCCCGGGAACAATGAACTGTGGTCCGCCTGACCCTTCACTGAGACATCACATTGACCGGACCTTCAGGGAGCTGGCTGTGTCAGCAGCGTGAGAAGTCAGCCAGGTGCTTTAGGTGGAAGAGGAGAGGGACAGGGGCAGACAGTCCCTGATCACTCACTGTGTGCCAGGTACCTGGCCTGTCTCAGCCACCTGCCTCTCGGCTTTGTGAAGACTAAGTGCGCATGAAGTGCTTGTCCCGTTGCATGGTGTGTCATAAGCATGATGACAGCTGCCGTGGTGATCGTGGAGAGGTAGAGGTGGTGTGATATATAGCGAGCTCGCTCTGGAGCCAGGCCTGGGCTGCAGTGCTGGGTCCGCCTCCTCCTAGCTGTGCGACCTATCCGTGGACTCACTGATTTTCACCTCCCTGAACCTCAGTGCCCTCCCCTATAAAATGGAGATAACAATGGGACACCTTCGAGGGATTGTGATGAGGCTCCACAAATGCAGGCTCCACTTTCCGCAGCGCCGGGTGCCGGGTGCCGGGTGCAGTGCCCAGCAGACCTTTGCTGCTCTTCTTGTATCTCACTGAATCCTCCCCATCCTGAGAGAGAGAGGTCTTGTCATCCCCATCTTACAGATGAGGAAACAGGCTCAGAGAGGTGAAGTGAGTTGCCCGAGGTCCACAGCAAGTAAGTACCAGAGCCAGGATTTGAACCCAGATCTGGGCCCCGGGCCATCCGCATTCTCTGTGCCTTCAAGGACCTCTGGGGAGCTACTGGAGGGGCAGGCCCCCAGCTCAGCCACCTCCCACACCCTCCTTCCGCAGGTCATCCTTTTCCAGTACTGACGCTTCCTGCACTTGCCCATCTGTCCATGGGCACCCCACAGCTGTCCCTCAGCCGCTGAAATGCAGTGTCCCAGCGCTGCCAGGAATCCACCCACCTCTGCATCCACCCCTCATCTGCCGTCCCGCCTGCCACCAGCTGGGCCTGTGGGCCTGGCTGTCCCCTCTCCTGCTGAGAACCAGAACCCGCCAGGAGCACCGTGGAGTCCTCCTCTTGGAAGGCAGAGCTCCCTGAAATTTGGAATCAGGGTGAAAACAACAGCCCAGTTTTTCCATTTAGACAGGACTCATCTTCAACTGAAGCTGATTAAAACAGCAAAAGGCCGGATTGAATTGTGCAACGCCAACAGCCTTCTAATTTACAGGTTTTCTTTCCTCCCATGTTGGCCTTCACTCACTACTTCCTTGGAACCGTCTCTGAATTCTGAAAGCCGAAAACCCCCAGTGTTATCCACTCTGTTGCTTTTGTCTGGAAAACTCTACAGTGTCTGTGGGATGTCCCCAAAGGAAAGCTTATGTTCTAATTTTATCATTTCCATCTGTCTGCTTATGTCAAGTTAAAGAGAGAAAAGAGAACACTGACCAACCCTGAGAGGCCCAGAAGGGCAGAGATGGAGGCCTGCCCAGACCAGGAGGTGGGGGATAGGCAGGAGCTGGGAGGCACAAAGACACCCATTGATTTGGAGCTTGAGGAGAAGGATATGGCACATCGGGCTGGGAGAGGAGAGAGAAAACTCGGGGTATAAGTGGGAGACCCTCTTCCTACCTAGTTATCCAGCACATATGTATACAGATGACATAGCAGACGTGGTGTTTGAACTATGTGACGACATTTCCAAATGTTTGGGCAGGTTAGAATTGGGGGCTTTTTTTGGCCACTCATGGACTCCTAGTAGGGGTGCTTGGGTCATGTCATTTTTGGGGGGACCTCTCATGGAGGGCTGGGGAACAGAGCCCAGGGAAATGGCAGTCAGAATGTTAACTCTGGACCCATATCTGAATAGCGAGAGGGTGCCCTATGCCTAGGTGAGCGTGCCAAGCCCAAGATTCCAGCTGGCCCCTCTGGGCTCCCCCACCCACTCCTGAGAACAGAGGCCAGACACAGCTGTGCTCACACCCACCCTGTCCTGCTGCAACTCTTCAACCCCAAACAAAAGGGCTTGGGCTACACAAGACCATAATTTATGTTTTCAGGGGGACACCCATTTGTCCCAAGGTTATCCTGTGATTTTACAAGTACTTGGTGTCCTGTTGCATTTCCCACTAGACTCTAGTGACTAGAGGCTGCTAGCAAGCCTGGCTGAGTCCAAGTCCTCCTTCTGGCTCTGGTGAACCTGGTATGTTGCCTTTGGAAGGAGACTGTAGGACGGGGAAAGCAAGCCCCTGGCACATATGCATCGACTGTCCCTGCTTTTACCCAGGGCAGACATTGCTAGTCAATTACAGTATCCTGTGTTACTGAGTCTGGAGACGGTTTCAGAATTCAGATGTTTGAAGTTGGCACTTACCACGAAAGCCTATACAGTATGTCATCCTTGCTCTGGGATCTGGAGAAAGGCGAGGCCTGGGTGCAGCCTGAGAAGGGGACCTGCTTCCTTTCCCTTCTGAAGATGGTTCCAGCTGGCTCAGGGCAAAGAGAAGGCACCACTGGGAATGCGGTCAGCACCGCTCAGTTCAGGACTCATCCGGTGAATAACGTGTACCTGGCCCTGTTCTGGGGGCTGACGCTAACAGGAGCGGTGTGGGCCTGATCCCTGGTCTTGGGGAACTTTGATTTTTGCTCCTGAGGCCCCAAAAGCAACCATGTAGTCGATGGCCAGTTGCACCCGACCCAGGGTCACCCAGTACCCACTCTGCCTTGGGGCTCCCCCAGAGTCTGTTCCTTGCGTGGATCACATGGTCGTAGCATGTTGCAGTTCAGACATGTCTCCACTAGCCTGTTAGAGCAGCCTGGGAATGTACAGGCCATCGAGACTATTTATTTAAATACAAAAGGGGAAAACACACACACACACACATACATGGAAAAATATTGTAAGCACTTTTTTGTAAAACCAATGTTTGTTTTGTTACATACCTTTCATGTTGTGCTTTGTAAATGTCTTATTTGTGTAATAAATAAAGTTAATGCAAGTAGAAGTGCTGGCACTTAAATCCAGAATGCGATGGGATTCCGTTTCTTTCCTGCTCTCTTCAAGGCTCAGGCCCCTGGACCCCAGTGCAGTCCCCTTCCTGGAAAATGGGTCCTGTTTCCCAGTTAATAAACTGAGTGTCATAAAGGCATGACGGTGGTTTCTCCTCCAATGAGCTTTGTAGGAGATCTGGCTGCTGCCCTCTGTCCCACTCCTGTGCTGGCTCGCTCATGGGACCCTGAGAATCCGAGCTGACTCTGCCCTGGAGGAGCTCTCGATCTGGCAAATGCTGGGAACGGACGGATCCCACCAACATGGTGCGAGAGCCGAGGGGATCTAATTGGATGAGGAGTTCACAGAATAGCTGCAAAAGAGGAGGTGTTGGGGGGGCCAGGGAGGGAGGCACAGAGGAACCTGTTTGGAAGATGGGGGAGAATTTGATACATTGATGTGAAGGGAGCTAGGGCTTGAACTTGGGCACAAGTCCGGGTCTCATGTTGGCCTCTTTGGGTTCCAGAGCCACCACATAATCTGTAATCTGGGGAGTGAGAGAGTACCTTTCTGCTGGCTGCCATCACTATTATTATTATTATTAGCAGCAGCAGAACAGTTTATTCAAGCCAAAGCTCTGCAGGAGAGGAGAGGTGTGGCCTGTCTGATGCGGAGGGTTCCCCAGCACCTTCCCACATGCCGGGCGCCATGGCCCTGCGCAGTTGCCTGTAAACCTCAGCTCAGGGTGTACAAGGCCATCGCCCCCTGCAGGCCCCCCCTTTATTTTATTAGTTGTTGCACCTCCCATCCCTGACCCTATCTCTGCCTCTTCCCCCTCCTCCAACCTATTTGTCAAATGTTGACTTAGATATATATCTTTGAAAATAGTTTAGTTTTGTGTGTGTGTTTGCATGAATGGATATAATTTCTGTTTTCAAAACCCAGTTTGGAACTCCCAAGTAACGCTCCACCCTATCACTCTACTGAGGTGTTATTGCACCAGAAGAGAGAGGTGACCTCCCAAGATCCCTCCGTGATGTAGCTGAGTGGGCCCAGGCTGCCCTCTGACTCCTGACTCTGCCCCAGCACGCCACTTCTGGCTCCCTAGTTTGACGGCCAGTTTCCTGGCTCCACTGAGTCCTCCCAGGCCTGACTCCCTCTTGGGTAGCTCCTGGTGAGCCATGGGACAAGGCACAGGAACCTGCAAGATCCAGCAGCCCCTAAGGAGGGACAGTTATACAAAGATCCAGGATGCTTGTGGCCCTAGAACATGTCCCTGCTTCCTCTTCTGGCTGTCAGCTGGCATGTGGTCTCTTGGGGGGTGATTTTGAGGAATAATTACTCTGTGCACAGCTAACAAATTGTTCTTTAAAGCAAGCACGCATTGAACACCTGCTAAGTGACAGCTCCTTGGATTCTCTCGTTCAATCCGCACAGCTACCCTATTGTTTTTAGCATCATTATACCCATTTTACAGATGATGACACAGGCTCAGAGAAGTGAAGTGACTGGCCCAAAATTACATGATACCTATGGTTGAGCTGGGATTTAAATATAGGTGTGTATGATGCCAAAGCTGCATTTGTTCTATAGCACCACACTGATTCTGGGCTTAGGCATGAGGCTCAAATGGAGCAGCTGTCAGAGGGAGAGGCAGCCCTTGGGTAATCATTCCTGGGCCTACCCAAAGGTACCAGCTGAGAGTCTGGGCACAGTCATCCCGTTCTATTGCTCTGTGAGACCAAGACTGGTAAGTCAGGCAACTCAGTATAGTAAAAAGATTCTGGACTTTGTCTTCAGAAGGACTTGGATTCAAATGCTGTGTGGCCTGGGGTAAGTCACTCAATCTCTCTGAACCTCAGATTCCCTCTCTTGAAAGCTGTTGTGAGGAGCAGAGATAATACACACACACACTACCTGCACACATTAGTTGCGCTTTCAATTACATGTATCTATTATTGTAAGGTGATGGTTCTCAAACTCCCATGTGCATAGGAAATACGCGGAAGTGCAAATTGCCTTTATTCCCGAGTCAAGTTCAGGTTCTTGAACTACAGTCTGCCACCAGGGCCAGCCGATGCCAGTAGAGCAGAGGGAAACCTCTGGCCGAGGTGGCTACAGAGCTCACAGCGTGGGCCTGTGACCCACAAACTCGTCCCAGCCCTTCCGACACGTCCGGATAATCCACTCATGCTCATCGTCATCTGCAAGGGAAGAGGAAGAGCTGGTCATCGCTGGGGCTCACGGGGCCTTATCTACCCCGGGAGACCCTCAGGTGGGGTCTTGGGATGTGGGTGAATTCCATCCAGCACCCCGGGGTGGCCTTGGTGGCCAGTCTCTTTAGCCAGCTCTGTGTTGGGAAGGAACAGACCTTTCACTAACAATGGATCCTTCAGTTGCCTGTGACTGCCTGGTCTTGGGGGAACTGAACACAAAAGGGTTATAGCTGGTGGATGCTGCTGATGGAGGTAGGAGTGACACTGGCCACTCTAGGCTGGGCGGCCTAACAGGTACTCACAGGGCAGCTCCCTCCGGCATCTGCCTAGTCTGACATCCATAAACAGCACCCCCAGGATGGTCCAGGCCCTGCTGGCTGTACTGGGAGCCAGAGCCTTCGGATCTTAGTTTCTGTTCTGGACCCTTCCAAGTACCTGTGGTTCCCAGGGGGCTGACACCCTCTGTTTAATCAGATCCGTTCAGTGGGGAATGGAGAGCATCTGATGTTCGTGAAGGCCCAACGTGTGTTTATCTCCCTTAACTTAATCCCTGTGACCAAATGACCGCAATGATCCCACTGTTCTGCAGATGGATAAACAGGCTCAGAAAAGTCAAACCACTTGTCCACAGCCAGTGTTAGTGTGTGGAAAGCCCGAATTTCCACCTTGGGCTGTTTGACTACAAGGCCTGACCTGTTTTCTAAACCTGAGAGAGCGCTGAGCAGAACACATTCTTCAGCCCACAGTCCACCACCATCATCTCTCTATTCCAGGCCCCTCTGCAGACTGACTTGATTTTTATTTTTCTCCTTATCCCCCGCCCCCAACCAGACCTAGCCCCTCCCCAACCACGACAGAGACTCAAATGGTGGGATATGACCCTTAAACATGCATGCAGCTCTGTAAAATATGTACGGTGGTTTTGTGTGCGTATGTGGTTTTAATTTACACAAGTGGCATTGTGCTGTGAATTTCATTGTCTTAGTTTTTTCACTCAGTGGTACATTTTCAAGATCTATTCTTGTAGCTACACATACATCTAGTTCGTTGCTTCTTGTGTTTATGCTGCTGAGTCGGCTCTGACTCCTGGCGACCCTGTGAATGAGTGAGGGCCACAGTGTTGTCCTCAGTAGCCCTGCTCAGCTCCTGTAGACTCACGCCCGTGGCTTCTTCTATGGAGCCAATCCATCTCGTATTTGATCTTCCTCTTTTCCTGCTGCCTTCTATGCTTCTCAGCATTACTGTCTTTTCCAAAGAACTCTGCCTGCTCATGATGTGCCCGACATAGGACAGCTTCAAGTTGGTCATTTTTGCCTCCAGTGATGTTTTAGGCTTAATTTGCCTTAGGACCCACTGCTCCCCAGCGCTCCCCTACAATACTATATTTCAAATGAATCCTTTTTTTTTTCCTGTCAGTCTTCTTCACTGTCCATCTTTTGCTTCTGTACATAGTAATTGGGAATGTGAGGGGGTGGATGATCCTAGCCTTTGTCTCTAATGACACATCTTTGCTCTTGGTGATCTTTCTTAATTCTTCTATTGCATGGCTTTTTTTTTTTTAACTTCTGCCTAATATTCCACAGTGGGCTTCCATCACGTTTTACTATCCATCCTCCCAGTGTTGGACATGCAAGTTGCCCCCAGCTTCCGTTACCAGGAATAATGTTGGGATAAACGTTCTTGGGCACATCCCTTCATGGACATGTGGGAGAACTTCTCTGGGTTACAGTCCATGAGAAGTGTCATCGAATCGTACATATGCTTCATTCACCAGACTCCCAACTAAGGCCTGGTAGCACCACGCTGTCTGCCTGCTGTCCCTCCCTCATTCCTGGTTCCCCCTGTGCCTGGCCCTGGGGACAGAGAGAACTACCCAAACCCCAGCCCTCAAGCAGTTCTCAGGGCTACAGCTCTTGCGTAAGAGAAGGGAGGATAGGAAGACCCATCCTCCTTGAGTGACAAATGGCGGTAGCTGGAGAACCAGGGGACTCCCAGAGAGCTAAAACAAAAATCCTGCCCTCCGAATCAGATCCCCCTGCCCACCGTCCTCTGCTGTGGAAGCACCATGTCCGAGATCAGGGAGAAGGAGGCATACTGACAGCCTTCTGTGTGCTTTGTGTTTTACAAACACCAGATCTCATTGATTCTGTGATCGCCCAATAGGGCAGGGGAGATGCCCCCCCCCCATTTTATAGAGGGGATGAGCCTTGTCCCAGGTCTGTATCCACTGGAATTCAGACCAAGGCTCATCAGACCCCAAAGCCTGACTTCCCACTCCAAGGCAGAAGTGATGGTGCTGGAGGGTGAGGCTGCCCCCACCCCCACCCCACCCCACTATTTCTTCATAAGTGGGCTAAGGAAAAAGGCTGGCTGTCCGGCATGCTTGGAAGACTGCCCTAAGCAGCTAGCGGGCCTCAGTTTCCCCTGGGGAGGCTGCCTGGGAATCTGAGTGTGGCTGCCAACCTCGGGGTGGGGGTGGGGTTGGGGGGGAGAGTGGCGGCACACAAGGAGTTAAGCGCTGGTGAAGCCCACTTTTGCCACCACACGGAGCAGCCTGGTTGGTAATTACAGTTCTGAAGTCTCCAGGCTATTCGAATCAGTGCAGCTGCAACCTCTTCAGTGGTAACCCCTGAAACCAGACAAACCGGGAGTATTGTGCGGAACCGGTCCTCGGCCCCTCCCTGATCGTTACAAATTGACAGCAATGGACTTAACAGCCCTCTTCACTACCCCTTTCACTCTCTACCTGGCTGCACAGCCACCAATTTGAATCGCAGATGCCTCCCCTCCCGGCAGCTGCTCACCAACCCTCC